TTTCACACCAGCGGACGATAACTATAACGATAACTATATTAGTGTTCACACCAGCGGACGATAACTATATTAGTGTTCACACCAGCGGACGATAACTATAACGATAACTATATTAGTGTTCACACCAGCGGACGATAACTATAACGATAACTATATTAGTGTTCACACCAGCGGACAATAACTATAACGATAACTATATTAGTGTTCACACCAGCGGACGATAACTATAACGATAACTATATTAGTGTTCACACCAGCGGACGATAACTATAACGATAACTATATTAGTGTTCACACCAGCGGACGATAACTATAGCGATAACTATATTAGTGTTCACACCAGCTGACGATAACTATAACGATAACTATATTAGTGTTCACACCAGCGGACGATAACTATAACGATAACTATATTAATGTTCACACCAGCTGACGATAACTATAACGATAACTATATTAGTGTTCACACCAGCGGACGATAACTATAACGATAACTATATTAGTGTTCACACCAGCGGACGATAACTATATTAGTGTTCACACCAGCGGACGATAACTATAGCGATAACTATATTAGTGTTCACACCAGCGGACGATAACTATAACGATAACTATATTAGTGTTCACACCAGCGGACGATAACTATATTAGTGTTCACACCAGCGGACGATAACTATAACGATAACTATATAAGTGTTCACACCAGCGGACGATAACTATATTAGTGTTCACACCAGCGGACGATAACTATATTAGTGTTCACACCAGCGGACGATAACTATAACGATAACTATATTAGTGTTCACACCAGCGGACGATAACTATATTAGTGTTCACACCAGCGGACGATAACTATATTAGTGTTCACACCAGCGGACGATAACTATAGCGATAACTATATATTAGTGTCCACACTTGATTCTGATTGGCTGTCAATATTTTTATCGTTCATCGGCTGGAAAAAATAGTTCTGAAAGTGATTCCAACATCATCGTTTCTCTGTGCTGTTATCATATAGTTGTGGTGTGAACTCTTTACAGTTAGAAGAACTTTATCGTTATCTTTATAGTTATCGTACTTACGGGCCTTAAATCCATGGTGAATGTTGAAAAGCCCTTTAACTGGATCGTTGTTTCTCCTGTTTCCTCTGGCTTTAAACTGAGTCAGATTTGTGTTTTGTATCGGAGAACTCCACCAAACTAGTAACACTATGTGAACGAGACGATCAGGATGGCTAAATGCGATGATTCCGATGCAGTCTGAAGCCTATTAATGGTGTGAAGTGTGTGTGTGTGTGTGTTGTTTTCATGGCTGTGCTTGTAAGGAAGAGTTGTGTAGCGTGAAACTGAAGATTGCGCTGTGTCTGGTGAGTAAGAACAGGTTATGTTTGTGTGTTTTGCGCTTCGTAGAAACGCACTCGTCGCGGTGTTGGGGGTTGCTATGGTTTCCGCTGTTGGTATGGTTACAGTGGGTGTTCAGTTGTGGACCGAGTGAGGTGTGTGTGTGGTGTTTGATGCGTGTGTGTGTGTTTCAGGCTCAGCTGGCCGAGCTGGAGCAGAGTCACAGCACTAACGAGCAGTCGGCCCGCGTGCGCGAGGACGAGAGACACCGCGTCAGCCAGAGAGAGGCGGAGCGGACGCTAGCCGCGCGAGAGAGAGCGTACCGCCAGCGCGTCAGGGGTCTGGAGGAGCAGGTGTCCACGCTGAAGGAGCAGCTACAGCACGAGATCCGCCGCAGAACGCCCTCGCTAACGTGAGATATATCACCTGCTTTAAAGAGTGCGTTACAGTTATCCCTTAATTTACTTTATAAACTAAAATAACTGGCTTACGTCCGTTCAAAACGTCTTACACAACGCAGAAGGCCTTTATTAACCCCTGGAGCCGTATGGATTACTGTTATGATGGATATAAGCATGCACTTTTTTGGGCTTCAAAATCTCAGGCACCATTATAAAGTTTGGAAGAGCCAGGATATTTTTTAATTAGTGCTGGGCAACGATTAATCGCATCCAAAATAAAAGGTTGTGTTTACATAGTATATGTGTGTGTACTGTGTATAATTATTTTGTATATATATGAATACACACACATGCATGTATATATTTAAGTTTTTTTAAATATATATATATATATCAAATATTTATATATAATATAAATTATGTATAAATATACAGTATATGCATGTGTGTTATTATATACACAAAATAATTATACACAGTACACACATATATTATGTAAACAACTTTTATTTTGGATGCGATTAATCACTGTTTTTAATATAACTCTGATCGTCTGAAAGAGGAGTGTCATATACACTAGGATGGCTTGAGGGAGAGTAAATCATGGGCTAATTTTCATTTTAAAGTGAACTGTCCCTTTAAGGCCTGTTTACACCAAGGACGATAACTATAAAAGAAAGAATAGCAGAGAGAAACACACCTATAATGATAACGGCACAGAGGAACGAATTTTTCAGCTGATGAACGATAAAAACATTGACAGCCAATCAGAATCCATAATGCTTTAAAGAGCTCGAGCATTTAAAGCGACCGACGACAAAACTGCAGCGCTTATAATAAACAAAGCATATTAATTATGTTTATAGTTATCGTTCTTGGTGTGAATGAGTTTTTAGAGATATTGTGAGTTTTTGTTTTATTACAGAATACTGAAAGGGTGAATGTCATGAAACCTGTCTGCAAATGTCAGAGTAATATTTACCCCAAAACCAAAATTATAACAATGGTATTTTGCTTAAAGAAAATGAAGCCCATTTTAGGACCAAGATTTGTTACATTGCGACACTATTATTATGACAATTCATCACATTTTATTCTCATAATTCTTTACTGTAATGCAAAATACTTTTTTTAATGAGGTGAATATATTACTGGCTAACGAATGAACGAAGCGCTCACATTCCCTGAACACTGACACATGTACTCAACACAAATACTTGAATATTTTACTGTAATATTTATGGTTTATGTGAAGGAGACTCGGTGGAGTTATGTCTGAGAACCGATTTTTTTAAATGCCATAACACAAACATGTTTATCATTTGTTATTCAGTTATTGCTATGTTTACCTCAACTGATTGTTGACAGGTTTACTGATCAGTGAAGTGTAATCTACTCACCCTGCAGTTAATCCCCCTCTAAATCTGAAATATAAATTTCACTTACGAGATTGATGTTGATCTGAAGAGTTGTCGTGTCCAGATTCACACTGAGATTAATTTGTCATCGCAAGAACTCCGAAAGCGTTTTTCACAACGCGATTCTCTGAAAATGTATGGTAAATTTCAGCGCGAGTTCGGTCGCGCGCTTGACAGCGGCCGGCTGCGCGCACAGAAATAATAACGGACTCTGACAGGAATGGCGCGAATTACTGAGGTGAGACACTTTTACGTCATATTTTTTTCAATAATTGTTATAATACATTTTAAAGCCAATCGCATTAAGGTGCTTGGTAATTCAGGAGAAAATAAGATAGTTCGCAATCACGACCCCGTCCTTCAGATCGACATATATCGCGTAAATAATGGATTGAAGTTATTAAGAAAAATGCCATTTTAACTGCTAGTTTAATACTCTTCTCGGTCTTTTGTTTTATGTGTGAAATAAATGTATTTTTGTTTTGCTAGAATGGATTTTATACACATTAAAATGATTTTGTTTAAATGTGTAAGCTTTCAGTCTATTCTTTAAAAACGTTTCCTGTATCCATGCTATTTACATGTAAAGTACAAAAATGTTTATTAATAAATTGCAAAACTTGGTTTGGAACAGCTACAGTAAACGGTGAGTATATTAAAGCTGAACCCTGACTGAGTTCTTCAGATTGATGACAGATCCCAGCTAACTAAAATGTTCTAAAAACGTTAGCATAACGTTCCCATTGAGCTATAGAAACATTTCTGTTTTTAAATGCGTTAAGGGAACATTCCATTGTATCGTTCTTTAAACATTATGGGAACGTTCCATGAATGATGCATAAATAAAGTTTTTGTGCTAATGTTTAGAGAACATTATTAAAGACCAGATAACTTTGAACAAACGTTCTATTAACGTTACTGGAAGAACGTTTGTTCATAACTTTGAGGGAACCTTGCCAGAACGTTCCCTGTTAGCTGGGTTACAGGTTTTGACCTCTGACCTGAGGTCAGGTGTGAAGGTTTGAGTCTGGGTTCAGTATAACTCACCCCAAGACAAAATAAACAAGTAAACAACAACAGCACTGGACGACAAACAGTAATAATACCAACGCGACACGTCTCTGTTGTCCTGCACCAGTGTGACAGATAATAGCACCAGTGGCAACATACAGCCGAATGATCAATTACTACAGTAAATATCAGTTTACATGAGACCAGAAAACATCAGATGCTGCCGGAGAATATGAAGAGGACAGAGGTCTGAAACACACTCTACACAAGCACACAAAGAATTGTTACGTTCTGAAATGCGTCAGAGCGCAAAACACAAGTGTTGCCACACGGGGGTGCTATAGTGGGCAAAAGTGTCTTCTTCTATGGTCAGTTTTCTCTTTCAGCTCGAGAACCGTCATCACGGAGTGACAGACTGAACTATCTTGCTGAGATGTTTACAGGAAACTGAGCTACGCGTGCTAGCATTGTGTTAGCATACTTGCGTAGAAGATGTTTTAGTCCTACAGCTAGAGTGAGTGTCAGCGTCTGATGGGCAGTACCAGGGCTAGTGTGTGTGTGTGTGTGTGTGTGTGTGTTTAACAGGATCCGCAGCTCTTGGCGCAGCTGCCGCCCGTCGCCCCACACTGGCCACTGAGTGCAACTACACCACAGCGCGAGAACTGATCGCGACACAGATCCGCTGCAGAGAGACAGATGACATGTTAGTCTGCGTTCACTGAACGAGTGCAAGACGACACACACACACACACACACTCACCTCTCAGCAGCTCCTCATGGGCGCACACAGTCCTCACGCAGATCTCCTTATTTATCACATAAACCCTGCG